TTAGAGTTTGAGGACACAACTGGGACATGGCAGTGTGATGGAATAGTGAATACTGTAGGCCTTATTGAAATATTATTGTCAGTTTGAGTTATTAAATTATTAAAAGATAATGTGTCAGTCTTTGAGATAGAATTACAGTGTAAATAAATTAACCAGGAACAAGTTCAGAGATCAATTCGTTGGTTCTTTAAATAAACAAAAACTTCAGTTCTGTGGTTGACAGTTTTAATGACTGTCAGCCACCTTAATCAAAACTGAGAACATCTGTAGGTTTTACTCGCACAGTGGGTTGGAGATCAAACCCAAGTCTTAGGTTAAAGATGACTTGGGTGACAATTTTTTATTTTGATTAATAAACATGGCTGCCACTGATAGTAACTGTCAGAAACAGAACTGAATATGTTCGGAGAACCCATGGATCAACTGTCTAGGTCCAACATTATCTTGTAAGGCCAACTAAAGCCCACAGAGCTGAGAAAAAAAATTTAATGCCAAGCACCCTGTTTTCTGAATGAGCTTGCCCTGCACTTATTTTGAGATCTAAATCCACCACTTGCAGGGTTTTTAGGTCTCATTGACATTTCAAAGTTGGTGACGGAGAAAGCTGTAGTAAGAATTTGATTCCTGGGCATCTCAACTCTGTGAAGTTATGCCTTAGAAAATTTGTTACACTATTGGTAAAATCTCCGTGCACTAGCTGTGTCAGTATTAAAAACTTAAAAAATAAGAGTGACATCATGTAATAACACTTTATTTTGCGTATTTGGTGACTTTATTTAAGGTAAAACTTTTACAACCTTTGTTCTCAACATGTAACTGTCCTCTCAAATAATAAAAATTAATTTTATCGTCAACAAAAGACAGTGGAATGAGTATGAGTGGTAAGAGACTTCACTGGTAATGCAGAGGGCAGGGTTCTCAATAGATTTTTAAGTAGGAGGTGATCACTGATAAAGTAGGAGGCTCTTCAGCAAAGCCACAGGTGTCAAAACAAAGCAAAGAAAAGCGACTTAAACACAAAGTAAGCGGCTATGAATCCCAAAGTAAACGGCGATCAATCGCCGGGTGCCGCCTTCTATTGAGAACCCTGAGAGGGGATACGTTTAAACCCTGTTCAAGCCTGAATTTCTTTCAGATTTTCCTCTTGCAACTGCTATTAAAGTTGCATACATATGTCTGACCATCTTTCATGTTAAATCTTTCTTCTACAGTTCATGTATTAAGTTTTGAATAATCAGGGGGTGGATCCAGGGAAGGGACCCAGGGGGCCTGCCCCCCCCCCCCCTTATTTTTTTGACCAAACTGAAAAAAAGATTCCTTGTTAGTGGCAAGAAAAAGAGCAGCAAAATATATTTTAATTCTCAAATATTATATTAAAACCCACCTACTTTCTTGCCCCTGAAACATAGTTTGATCTCTGTAAAAAAGGCAACTGTAAATAATAAATACAATGTATTTCATGACTTACAGAACAGAACAGCTCACAAAATGTTGACATTTTCTCTTTGCCAAAAATATATATATAATTTATTTAAAAAACGTTCTTGTTAGCGTCTGATGGTTGCACTAACCCTTTGGCAATTTTCAAAAGGTTGCAAAGGTTGGCAATGACTTCTAAAGTAACTGTTAAGCCTGTTATGGTTCACCTGGACGATCAAACTCAACCTACTTTTGAAATGACTCCTGGGTTCAACCCTTTCACAGTAGCAAAAATTCATAGCAAAGTTAATAATTGATAAAAAGAAGTTAACATAATATTCCCTCTTTCCAGGAAATAAAACTGACCTCTCCAATAATGTGTCAAATAATACGGCATTTTTTTTACCCTTGGTCCCATTAATGACAAGCAACTAATTTCTCCTTTAAATTAAACTGCTCAATTAAGGTTCAAGGTTATGAGAATGCAGTTACCTATCTCTGTACCCGACTCTTTTTGAACCTTAAATGAGGCACGTTTGAGGAACAAGCCACATTTCCTAGTGCAATGTTCTTAAGAGTGGTGGCCGGGAGGCCCTAGGGATACTGCTACAAAAGTGGATACAAGTAAATCAGCAGAGCAGTTTTAACAAAATGCCTTTATTTTAGCTGTTACTTTTACAAAAATTGTAGTTCTGCATGGGCCTGATAAGAACCCTTACTACAAACTTTTATCAAAATTAGTATCAAAAGCCTCAGTGTACGTCTGGCTGGCTTCATTCTTCTTTGAAGAGAATCTGGAAATGAAATGGATAAAACATTCATTTTTGTTTTGCGTTCATACTTCCTAGCTCGTCAATTATCCCTAATACCACATAGGCTCCCATGCAGACGTTCTTACGTTTGTCACGCAATCCTCTCCACCGCGGGGACAAAACCATAAGAACGTTTGCGCGGGAAACCAAATGCTGTTATAATTTGAAATGATACAGTGTATAGCTACTGACAGTCACGATCCTTATCTCGTGTCCCTGAAAATTACTTAGTTCAGTACATCGTGCCGAACTTGGATAAACAAGTTATAAGTGGTAGTAACAAGGAATGTATACATGTAGTAATGAAAGTGTAAATGATCCTCGCACTCATTTTGTATATATAATTTTTCATTCATGAATATAAAAAAAAAAATAATTAGATATCTCAGCTCTCAAATTCTCAGGGTTACACAACAGTTGATAGCCCTCAATAAAGACCATGTCTTATACTGTTTTTGAAGCAATGGATTGCAGTGTACTATAGTGGGCTAGTGAGCTAATATAATAATGAGCTTACACCAATTAGTAAAATCCAACTCATGGTCTATCATCAATGCTGCGTTCTGATTGGTTGAGTTACTACTAGGCTATATGTTATAGCTCACTAGTAGCGCAAAGCGCTGGCTTTTTGGTGGCAAAAAAGGAATTAAGGACTAGTTTTAACTAGTTAAAGTTGTTTTGTCTCGATATTTTTTGACTAACTAGTTGGATTTTACTGAAACTATTATTCCTCTCGCCCTTATGGCCTCTGAGTCAACTGCCCATTTGGCCTTCCGCCTCATGGGCTACTGACTCAGAGCCCTTTCGGGCTCGAGGAATGATTGTTAAATATCTTTCCTGGGTACCCAAGCATTTCAAGACAATAAAAATACATTAGTAGTAGTGATGATGATGATGATGAGAACGACAATGACGACGACGCTGATAATAATGCTTCAACACTTGTATTATGTTGCCTTCCGACATCAGCACTGGAGAGGCAGAAACAGAAAAGATCGAGAAATACCAGGATCTGAAGAAACGGGTAGGTGGGTCCTGGGAAAGCGAGGTTGACAATTTTGGATGATTTGGAACGATTGCACCCAGATTGTACCGGGATGCAAATCCTAGTGGGCATCTTTAACTGATGTGTAAACCTGGTTGTGCCACATAAAGCTTTTACCTTGTTCATATCCATTTAAAATGCATTATCAAATTTCTCGCACTTTTGTCCCTCTGACACAACAGTCACTGGCACAAATGGATGTTTAGTGTTCATCAGGTAGTTCTAAGTGAAAAAATTTCCAAGTTAGAGTTGGGCTATATAGTTTCGAATTTAGGTTAATAATTAGGTGTTAATTTAAAAAGTTATTACAGTCGATGGACATCGCTGAGAATGCCTTTTAAGCCTGGCCGCTAAGTGCACCTAGTGTATCATGAAACCCCTTAACCAGGAGCCCATAACTCGAAGACAGCACTCCCTTGTGCCTGTGAAGCGGCATATTCACAGACCAATCTATTTTTAGATCAATTTTCCTGCGCATTATGACTATTAAATAAGTCTTACAAATCATTCAGCCAAAACTGGAGACCAGAAAATAGTATTTTTGATGTTTTGCAGGCATTTACTTTTTCTTTTTGTCATTATCATACTATGGATGTGTGATACGATGGGAAAAATACCGCAAAATAATGCTAAACGCTTTTTTCCCCCCCCTCCCAAAAACACACGCCTGATCGCATGTTACCCTTCACGAACCCTTCTATCTGTTTCATCTGTCAGTAACATTTCTTTATGCATGTTTCTACAATTTAGTTCAGTTCATGAGCCTGATGGGTTCCAAGAGGATTATACAGCAAGTTCAGAACATTTTCTCCCTTTTCCGTGCACAGAGTAAAAGAGCGAAACAGGGATTTCAATTCACTTGTATATAACGTGTTCATTCATGCAAAAGGCCAGTTTAGGGACATGAAATATATCTTAGGTCAAGAAACATCTTGGAAGGATTAAGAGAGAGGTTCTACATCCAAAATACTTACATGAGCGTACTGCAGGCCTTTGTGTCTTTCATCAATACTAGCTTTCTTTCCAATCCAGACAAAGCATTCCTTGCCAGTGTCACAAATGAACACTAAAAAAGGTAAATATAATTATAAACAATATTATTATTGCATGAGGGTTTTGCAATATCTGCAAAAATAAAGGTCAAAGTAAGTGTTATTATCAGCTTAGGCTTGGCGAATAACACTTACTTTAACCTTGATTATTCTGGATATCACAAAAACTGAACCTAATAATTTATTGTTCTATTGTACATCCATTGTTTTGAAGAGAAAATGGGCAGACACAGACCTGCCAACTCTCACGGTTCTGCCGTGAGTCTCACGATTTTTTTGTCATTTCTCACGGTCTCACGACAAGGCTCCTCAACCTCACGGGTTTTGGGAAAAATCATTCTGAAATGATTTAAGTTGTTGAATCAGAATAAAAATGGGAAATTAACAAGGAATGCTTGTGCCATAAAGTGAAAAACTAATAAAGCAGTTCTTACTTTTTTGTACCCAGCTGTGATTTTCGCTTGTGTTCAATTAACTTAATCGTTTTTCTTCGTGTCTGTCCGCCATTTTGAAAGGGGAGTAGGCCCTGGGAACGAGGTCTAATTCCCAGGCGTCTCCCATGTTGAGTTTCCCAGTAGTCTTTGTAAGTTCAGCGCGGGAAAGCGTTAATGACTTTCCTCGATGGAAAAGGGGTTTGTTTAATCTTGATCGGGAAAAAAATAGAATCTCACTATTTTTTATGGAATCTCCAGATTTTCCTTTATCAGGGGTTGGCAGGTCTGCAGACACAGCATCGCATGGAACATAGTTTGACATTGCTTTTGGAAATCGTGCATTACAGGCACAACCTACAGAGTAGTCACTTAATCTGATAGCGGATAATTAACTAATATGAAGGTTGGGCTAATTACCAAAATTAACTGTAGGCTCTTAGCCAATGAGAAAGCAGATACAAGCACAATTTACAATCATCATCATTACACAACATACAATCCAAACCTGAAAGTTAATTATTTTGATCTCCACGTAATGTGATTTAGACCACCATAAATTCAGTGTTATGATACCAATTTGAACAAAAGCATTTCCTTACCATCATTACTATCCAGTTTTCCTTTTGAAAAAATGCCTTGGTCTTCCAATTCCAGATGCCCACTTGCATCACTTAGTTTAAAGATAGTTTTCTTGAAGTCATCATCTCCAGGCTGTAAAGAAAATAGTAAATCAAAGTGAAAATAATCTACCAGGGCTGGGGTGGGGGTGCAAACCTTTCCCCATCTACTAAGTCATTGAGGGAGCTCAAGTCACTTGACAAATTTAAAAAGGCCATCCACAATGTAACAATTTGATTAATTGATAGTTAGTTCTTAGTAAGTTCTAATTTAGTTATAGATTTGTCTTTTTCACTTAATGTTTTTTGGTAGGAGGACCCTTCTGTAAAGCCTTTAGGTGAAGTAGGCGTCCTCATTAAAGATTGTCATTATTATTACTATGAAGATAACCTTTGGCTAGTTTGATCATAAATATGAATAATAATAGAAACAAAAGAATTTCTAGCAGTCACAACAATAATTTTTTGGGACACTAGGGATTGGGTTAGTGAGTTTAATAAATCACTTGCCCATGAGGACAAGCCACTGATCGAAGAAAAAACTGAAGTGTTTCAAAACATGACAACTATTTGCAGCCTGTCCTAGAATTTTAGAACTTTCACGACTCTCTATGGAGTCCAGACAGAAATTTTCTGTTTCTTAGACAAAAGCAAAGTTCAAATTTGCTAATCTCTCAGTGCTACTGTTGGAGTCAACACAAGTTCCACAGTATGAATCGCAACCAAGGATATGTTTTTTTTCGGACTTACTTGAAAACTTCATGCTGTGTGTGGTCCTTTGGTAAGCCATGAATATCTGCCTTAGCATAATTGGCCATTTTCTCAAAGTTAGTTTTTTAACAGAGCTTCTTCACTCCTGTGGTAGGGCCTCCAGGACCTATCGCCTTCCCACATCATCTGATCTGCTTTTAATTTCCCGTAGCACAATGTCAGAGGTCAGAAGGTATTGGTGTAATCCAATCACTTCTACCTCTATAATTTGGATGACTGTCATGACACACCGCATGAGTGAATGGTTCTGTGTTAGACATATCTTGCCCCACTCACACATTCCAAACTACGGCATTGCAGTTAGCCATGAGAAAATTCAGTTTATCGCTGTTATAATATACCCTAATTATGTGAACTGTCAAGACAGTATTTTTTCGTTACCTCCATGTCACCTGATGGGTCTCCAGAAGGAAGTACCTTGTCAAGATGGTGCCCTAAACGATCATCACCTAACGCAAGTCATAGTACAAGTCATTGTTAAACATGTCGTCACAGAAATCATCAAAGGATCATTTTTGTTTTTTTAACTTTATTTAAAGTCAAACTTGTATATTAAACTTTAGTGGTTACCCTCTTATATAATCATGCTGTCACTTGCAAAACCTCTGGAAATACTTTCCCTTAATTCTGTGGTTCCAGAAAATATCCATACTCCCATAAGAAGGGAGTTTCACTTGCCTGGATTTTCCATTTCTATAAATGATAAATTATTTGAAGGAAGATCATTGCAGTTGTATACACAACTTATGCAGTTGCGAAAAGAAAGCCTGAAACTGTGATGATCTTCCTTCAAATAATTCTTCACTTCGCAGTTCACGTATATGTTTTTCATACATTCATAATTTCATCATCATCCTTTCACAGGTTTATAATAAGCCAATTCAACGACCTACTCCCAGTTGGCTTGTAAGCTTAATATTGGTAAAGCACTACACTGGTATCACAGAGTTCAAGGGTTTGAATCCCGTACATTAGCCTCAATTTTTTTCAGGCTTTCTTTTCGCAACTGCATAAGTTGTGTATATAACTGTGACGATCTTCCTTCATATAATTCTTCACTCTGCAGTTCACATAATTATATGTTTTTCATTATATTCATAATTTCATTACAAAAAAAAATGATGAAGTTGAACTTGTTTATGTCTTCAAGAATGATCTACCAGGTCGGTAAGTGGATATTTTCTGGAACTGCGTAAATGCAGAGTGACAGCTTATAAATGTGGTTTGACCGTATCTATTATTGATTTTCTAATTCAAAAATTTGGGCAAAAGTACCACTCAAGAACCAACAAATTTGCGGGAATCAGACTGATAAATTTATAGGGAAAAGGGAATGAATGTCACTCAGTTAGTGGGAACTGAAAGTTGAACTTACCAATAACCTCTGTTTTTACACCTCCTCTTTCAGACTAAAACATAATCAGAAGAAAAAATAATAAAAACTAAAAGCAACAATAAAGGAAAACGGGAAGGGTCTATAGCTAGAATAAAAAAGGCCCAAAGTCAATGGTAGTTTACAATTTACAAAAATGTTGCGAAGAATCCAGTTGGAGAATAAATGGAACAAGATCACATCTCTTGGGTCATTCCAGTGAAAAACTTCCAAGAGAAACAGAATTCCTGAAAAGGTGGTCCTGTATTCCCAGCCAGGAAGTTTCAAACACAAATTTGTGTTCCTATCTTCAAACCATATTCAGGCTTATAATTATTGCAGCTGCTTTTCGGTAAATGAAACTGATTTGTGCAAATGGTATGCATGATTCCAGGATGAAATTTAGCAGTCCAAAATTTTGCTTAAGATTTGCCCAAACCATGAACGGACCACCCATGTACCATTTTTAACTAACAAAATTAAGGTGATTCCCTGGTTTTGCACTGCGCATAACAAGATGGCCTCCGTAAAAAAGAGCATGTAAAGTAACATTATTAAAATGAAGTTGACCGAAGAGAAACGCTATTGCAATTTTTACTTGCGGTTGTTTCTTGCCTAGGTGAGACTCAATGGGGTGGGAATGTGCATAATGTAAGCAGTACGCATATTGCTGAGTTTGACTTCCTCATGGAGAACTTCGATACTGGATGTTTAATTTGTGCTTATTCACTCTGATTTTCATTTAAACGCTTTCTTTATCACATTGTGTCCTAAATATGATATCTCGATGTAAATTCTGTAAAAACGGATTTTTTAATTCTTTCTTCCCCCTTTCGCATACATTCTATTTTGAAACTCGCCCCAGTCCTCTCTCAAAAATCAAGGAAAATGCATTTGGTGCACACTTTCTGCAGCTCTACTGCAAACACGAATACGGTGACCCCCATTTTTTATTTCATGATTTTAATAAGGACAGTGCTTCCTTTCGGTGAGAAAAAAATTGGAACAAATCTATGTTCAGTTTTTTGGCAGTTTTACTAAATTGTACGGATTGAGCTATCACATGTCGAATAGCGCGTGTCCAATTTAATTCTACTTTGGAGCGTAAAGTAAAAACAAGGGCATTAAAGGGCATTTTTCTGGTTCGTAAGTGAATAAACAATACATTAAAGTCAAATTCTGTGCGATATCACATGCATCATTGAAAAAATCTTTCCTTTTTGTCTAGTTTTGCCCTGCGCGCGGTTTTTGTAACAGGGCCAACAATAGCCGTATTTGTCAGCATTGTGACGTCAAAACGAGCACGGTGACCCCCACTTTTTATTACCTTTTTATCATCTTCTTGACTCGTTACATCAGTGTACCAAGTTTCATCTACAATCTATGTTAGGCTCTTTTACTGGGGAATCACCTTAAGTAGCAAGGTAACCTCATTGTTAATAAACCCTCTTAATGACTTATTATTGGCACTGACCTCCAACTGTTGCAAATACTGTGCAGCTTTGATACGCTCATCCTTATCAGACTGACTGCCATTGATCTTAAAAATATAGAATATATTTAT